AGTGAGTGGGGCATCCTTGGGGGGGATCCTGGCCGTCGCTGCAGCCTCCACCTACCACAGCTGTGGCGCGGCCAGCGGGGAGCCAGACTCCGCAATGCAGTCATCCTCCAGGCGGGAGTAAGGAGGAACCTGGCAGTCTGCGGGATTGGCCTATCCGTTAGGGCCGAGGGCGGGGCTTGTGGAGGTGATTGACTTAACGATATTTTGGAGCCTAAAGTCTTGCGCATTGGTGAACTCGCGGTGGCTATGTGGAATCTCCCGCAAAGGCCCACCCTGCTTGATGGGGGTAGGGGCCTCGCTACCCTTTGTGCTTGTGTTCTCGGCAGACCTGTAGTCAGAAGAATCCTCCTGGGAGGAATGGAGCCTGGAAGACTGGACCTCGCAAGGACCTGGAGAGCGGCGCCGGCCGGATGGTGTTCCGGCCCATCGGAATAAGCCGTAACTGGATCACTGGGTGAAGGGAGCCTCTCTAACACCTCCTCTAGAGTCTCCCACTGCCCTGCTCTGGCCCCCGACCCTTCGCTGAGCCCCCTCCTATCTTCATGCCCTCTCACTCCTTCTCAAATCCAAGTCTCCTACCCAAGCCCATAGCCTCCTGGACTACCCCTCTGCTGTGGAGAGGTCCTCTTTCCTCACCCGGTCCTTTTCTTACTCATTAAACTTCTAGTCTGAGTCGTCTCTTCTCCCATTCTCACTTTTCCAGCACACCAGATCACTCTTCTCCCAGTCTGTTGGTCCCCTGTGCCAGCGTGCTGTTGGAAATCCTCCTTGCTGGTTTAGAACAGTCTCTCTTTTTTATTCCATGACAGTCCTCCCGTTCTCAAGGGAAAGCCCATTTCCTTAGTGAGTCCGTTCTTATTAGAGGCAGAAAGTTCATCATCACGCCCCTCTGAGTCCCAGCTACAACAAGGGATTGAGGAAATGATGGGAGCATGCTGGCTTTGTCCTGTCAGGATGGCTCCTCAAGCTTAATCTTTCTTTCTCTGTGGTTTTAGAGTCCAATGCCTCCAGCAGCAGGAGTTTAGCAGGTTGGTACACAGGGATTGTGATGAAGGGGGCTCAGTGAAGGGTCGGGGGCTCAGAGCAGAGTCTGGGGGTGCACATTGGGTACTGGCAAGTGCTGGTCTTGGATCCTGTTTCTGCCCTACCCTGTGACTTGGGAGAAGTCATTTACCCTCTTGGAGTTTCAGCCTCCATAGCAGTACACGGCAGAGTTGTCATTGTGGGGTTGTTATTGGTGTCGACAAAGAACACCCAAACCTGTAGAGAATTTTTATAAGAGTTTATTTGAGCTTAAATTGATGACAGTTGCTGGGAAGCAAATCACAAATGCTCTTGAGAATTACAGTTTTCTAGTTTCTCTTATGCATTTGAAATTAAAGAGGGAAAGTGAGGAGGAGTAAATGAAGGTGGGAGAAAGCAAGGCAGGGATTGGATTACTGGGTAGTAACAAAATTATGTGCTCTCCTGAGGGTGGTTATCACTTATTTCAAAGATGTGTTACTCTGGATGCACAAAAACAGGGCTTGCTTAAGGCAAAGATAGAGCTTTTACTAAATTTATATGCCTGGGGCATGACAACCCACCATGACCTGCCCAGTTAGGTATTTATGATCTTATCACCCTGTGAGGTTACTTAGAACCCCATTTTTGTCCACAATAGTTAGAGTTGTATACTTCATCAGAACCTGAGACTATCCAGAAATGATTTAGAGTAGGGGCTGAAATTTTAAGATGCAGGGTCAGGCAGGTGGCAAGTGAGGGGTTGAGCGGGGTCCACATTGAACTAGAGAGTGCATGTCATCTCTATATCTCCATCTGCCTCACCCCTAATCTAATGAGGGACTGACACACAGTCCCAGGAAAGCTTTGTTGAAAGATTTCATGAACGGATCACTAAGTAATCTCCCGAAGTGGAATATCTAAGCCTAAAAAATGTCCAGGCTCTCAAATCCTGTTTTATAATTATTTCTTTCTTTCCTGCAGGAGCCTGGATAGCTGTCTTTCTTCTTATAGTGATAAGGTGGATGCTGGGATAAAATCCTGCCTAGACACTTCCCCTAACTCTAGCCCTTGGCCTAGTGTAGTTGCCTGAGGCAAGGGTGGCATGGAGGAAGATTTAGGGGGGAGCCAACTACACTATCTGGTAAGGAGTATGGCCTGGCCAACGAACAGCAGGGAATTCACCTACTTTGACTACTTTTCGGTGCAAGCTGGCCGCAAAGCTTCAGTACTTTATGAGGAATGGGGTATGTATGTGTAAGAAGTCACTTTATTCTCTATGGATCTTAGTTCCCCCATATGTAAAATGAGTCTGACCAGATGATCTCTGCTTCGACATGAGAACTCAATGACTCTTTTTCCAGGGAGAGTTTCTGGGCTTTGGCCAGCTGGTCCTAAGACTCCTTTCTTTAAAAAAAAAAAAAAAAGACTCTTTTCTTCTGCAGAATGGGCAAGAGCTATTCAATTTCAGAATTAGGTTGAAATGTATCCATACAATATTATCCTGACCATTAATTATTTCTAAATTCATAAACTCCTCCTTTCTAGTAGAGAGGGCGAATACAGACAGCAATGTTTGTGCTATCATTTATTCATTCAAAGAATAGTCTGGAATCTACTGTGTAGCAGTTCCTGTGTTAGACCCTGGGGATTCAATAGTACACAAGATATTGTTTGACCTTATAGAGAGGACAGCTGAATACAGGAAGTAGGTGGTGTGGACCAGAAGCAGGTCAGGCTTTATAAGTTGAAGGAGGTGGCACTTTCACAAAATCCTAAGATCCCTGCACCTCATTTTGTTATTTTGCTTTTGAAATATGATGTTTTACTGATATCTATAATCATTTTAGAAATTAATTTCCTGGGAAAATATGGTGGTACAAGCAATAAAATAAAAGTTAAATTTAACAGTCTTAACGTTTCATTTGCAAAAACTTTTCTTGTCATTTAATGCTTTGACACCTCCTGAAAAAAATTAAGTCAAATGATCAATCCATATTATTTTTTCATATATATCAGTCACATATTTATTAAATCAGTACAATTAATTACATTTCATTGGGAATTAATATTGACTTTATAGGTCTGAAGTAGACTGTTTAAATAGCCCTCATTTAAGGTATATTCTCTGAAATTAGAATCAGAAAGCTTCATTAAAAAATAATAAAATAATAATTAATAATAAAATGTATCCTGAAGGATAAGGGCAAAATATTATTGACTCTACTATGCTTAAACATCTCAAAAAGAAAACAGAATAAAACAAAATTAACTTAACAGCAATGCTATTGAACTTACCTATATTTAGTTGACCATGTTAAAAAGCCTCTGTGCTGCATAACAATAGATGATAATTAAATAAACCACCAGACACTACTTAATGCATTTGAAAGCAGTAGCTCTAATTATATGATTATAACTAAGATGCAGTTAGTTTATTTTCTAATTTTCTTTGATTAAATTGGGATGGGGCGTATCTGGCCCTCTCTATTCCATTTTTAGTCATGTTAGGTGATAGTTCCATTGATATAGTTTATTAAAATATAAAGCAACTCTTTTTAAAATAAAGTAACTAAAGATTTAAGAATATCTCATACCTAAAAATTGACTGGATATTCTCTGAAATTAATACCAACTCTATGTTAAAACAAAAATTCACATTTTTAAATTGGTAGTGTGATAATAGAATTACTTTTAAAATATAAATGTACGTTGGAGAAAACTGTACAAATATACTGTTTGCCATTTGTAAATTTAAATCTCAGCACTTTCACCATTTTCCAGTCAGATTTCTCTTCTATTTTCGGCATCAGCTCTTCTTATCCTCCCCATTCTTTGCAGTCTTCTCCATGCTGTTTTCTCCCTCCTCACAGATTCTTTTCATAAAAGAAATAGAAGCCATCAAGTGGATGTTTCCATCACCCACCAGTCTACTTACTACCCACCAGTGCACAAGTCTATTTATTTAGACAGTTATCTTTATCATTTATATTTAACAATACCTTAAATTCATCTACCATTATTCATTATCCAAAGTTCATTAGCCATGACATCTGCTATTTTATTCCTTCTTTATTCTTAAAATGTTATGAGAGGATGGGAGATAGGACTCTGGACCACATTCCCAGAGTCCTTCCTTTAGAGCAGGGGTCTCCAACCTTCCGCAGCACTGCAGCCTAATGAGCAAAGCTTCATCTGTATTTGCAGCTGCTCCCCAGCACTAGCATCACCACCTCAGCCCCTCAGATCATCAGGCATTAGATTCTCATAGGAGCACCCGTTCCTGGTGCCAAAAAGGTTGGGGCTGCTGCTTTAGAGCGAACTTGATCCAATAATTAAAGCTCTTTAATATAGTTCTTCAAAGTTAAAAATATCACAACTTTTTAACGCATCTCCCTTTCCCCCTCTCCCGTCAGGTTTCCAGATATCTGGAATTTCACTACCCTTTGGCTGATGGCTTTGTTTCTTCTTTTAAACAATCTCCAAGTATGATTCTTAAATACATATTAATGCAAATGAATTAGTTCCTTTTCCTGAGAACTAAGTTTGGGTAGGAAGGCAAGACTGATCCTTCAACTTGAGTCCTGGTCAGACGGACCACTGACGAACCCAGCCATGACCCCAGCCACAGACTGAGCCCTAACTGACAAGGCAGTGACCCAGGCCACGCCCTAACATTTGGTCACAACCTGACTCCCAGTTTCAGGAGGCAGTAGTGACAGGGGGTGGGGCAGGCTGGGTGGGATTCCCGAATGATTTGCCCTATGTTCCAGCTTCTAGATCTGCACATGCCCAGCAAGCTACTCCAGGGATAGGTGAGGAGGGCTCCGCCCAGAGGCAAAACCTGGCAAGGGTCAGAGCAGAAGTCTCAGAGGGACGGTGGGATCATGCGCAGAGAGATCCGTCCGCTCTTGGCGCGGAGGACTGCGTGCGGGGCCGGGACACCGGCACAGCCCGACTCCTGATTGGTCACAGGCGGCAGAAGGGGGCGGGTCCGAGGGAGCGCGCGCTCTGAGGCGCGCGGCCTGGAGGGCGTGTAACGGCCGTTAGAAAGCTCAGGGATCGATTCTCCGCCTGCGGCTGACGTGGTGGCCACAGTGGGTGTTCTTGAGTGAGGTATTTCGCCGCCCGCTTTCAGGCCCACGTAAGTCTTACTTTCTTCCGGGCCCCAGTCGAACTGACAGACCCTGCCCCACCTTGGGGAGCCCCTGAGGAGCCTCAGACAAGCAAGACCTACCTCCGTGGGGGCGGGGGGCGGTGCAGGGAGCGAAAGCGCACGCGCAGAGCGAATAAGCTGTCTCTGGTTCTCTCGCTGTACGGGCTTCCTAAAATATTGCCCCACACACGCCCCCTCGAGTCTCGATCGCTTCCCCGCGCTTATCGCCTTGTTTTCTCTTTTGTCCGTCATTCACTCCACAGCTGTTGCTGTACCTGTGTAAAGGACAGGCCCTGTGCCAGTCTCCAGGAGGACGGTGGGGAGCACAGTCCTTGCCTTCCTCGAGCTCACAGTCCCGGGAGAAAGTGGACTTTAAGCAACTGAATACTCGGCACTCGGTAGTGTAGGGTGGAGAAGTACAAAGAGCGCAGAACCGAAGGCGGTGGCGTAGTCTGAGGGCAGAACTCCCTCCCTGAGGAAGTGAAGTTTGAGCTGAGATTTGAAGGGATGAATAGAGAAATAAGGTTAGGGGACCGGGAGCATTTGTGAAGGCTCTAGGCTAGAGTTTCTGAGCCGGGGCTGTTTTTCTCGCTACAGGATATTTGACAACGTCTGCAGGCTTCTTGATCGCTACTCGGGGATTGCTCTTGGCATCTAGTGGGTAGAAGTCAGGGATGCTGCTAAACATGCTGCAATGTACAGGACAGCCCCCACAACGAAGACTAATCCTATACCTGAAATATCGGTAGTACTGAGATTGAGGAACCTGCTCTAGACAAGGAGGAGCTGGTATTTTAGATGAACTGAAAGTTTAGTGTATTAAAGCTTATTTGTTCAATAAAGAGGGTGATCATTTCATTACAGTAAACAGAGAGGATCAGATCCCTGTTTTTCTTTTACACCAATATATTTCTGCCACGTGGCGCAGAGACAGGCAAATAATAGGCACTCAGTAAACTTTAGTTGATGAATTGAATACTGTGTGCTAGGTAGGGAGGAGTAGTGATACAAGGATGAGTAAAATAATCATGCCTTATTAATTGTCCTTAGGCCTGTCTATTTTATAATGGTCTGGTGGTGGTGTATGTTTCAAGACTTATTCTTTGTAAAGGCAACTTCTTGGCAATGATTTGGCTTCTCTTTCTTTAGATCTGGTTTAATGAATGATCAAGGCCATGAAAATAGTGTTATGGTGTGAGCTTAATGTGTCTGTGTCAGCTGTCTGTGTATCCCTTCACATCCTCTCCTGTCTTCATGTGGTTTTCTTAACTGCCAAGTGTGATGTTCCACACTAAGATTATAATTCTTCAAGGGAAGAAATACTTATAACAGTAAAAATTTAATTCTTGGATAGCAACTTGGGGTATAGAGCCCTGGGCAAACTGAAGAAATTACATGAACTGTCCCTGCCCCTAACTGCCCTTGGGCTTTCAGATCTGGCTATTCCTGAGGCTGGAACTTATGCCTTAGTTACTTCCTTTATTTCTCTTTGTCACTTACAGAAAAAATGCTGATTAGACTTCTGTAGCTTTAGAGCACACCCCTAGCTTTGAAGCTTCTTCCTAGCCATATATCATTCACCACTCTAAATCTTTATTTTTTCATCCAGAAAATATTATCCAGAGGATAATAATGGTAACTACCTCATAGATTTGATGTGAATATTAAACATAAGACATGATACACTGTTTAACAGAATGTTTGATGGGTAGTAAGTACTGAAAACATGTTAAACTTGTTGAATGAATGAATATGTCTGTAGTTAAAGGGCTTAGAAGATGGAAGCCATCAATGTAGGGTGCTTTTTTTTTGTCTGCCTTCATGCACTCCTACCTTTCTTGGCTGTATAATTAGTTATTTGCATTGCTTCTTGTACCTTCGTTTCTCTCTTTTATCTCTGTCTCCTTCAAATGAACCTAAAAATTTCCACCAGTATCCCATCTACTTCTGAACTTAGTAGAAAACAGTCAAGAATTATTTATTCTGTACTGTTTCACTCCTTGTGAGAGTTCTTAATTGAGATAGAATTCACATATAAAATTCAATTTTATGTGTGTACAGTTCAATGGTTTTAATATATTCAGAAGGTTGTGCAGCCATCACCACTATCTAATCTCAGACCATTTTGATCACCCTGGAAAGAAACCCGACATCCATTAGCATCCACCTACCATTCCCCCACTGCCTTCCTCTTAGTCCCTGGCAACCACTAATCTATCTCTGTATTTGCCAATTCTGGACATTTCATATAAATGGGATTATATAATAAGTGGCCTTTTGTGTTTGGCTTCTTTCATTTAGCATAATGTTTTCAGTGTTCACCCATGTTTGTAGAATGTACTTCATTCCTTTTTATTGCCACATTTACTTATCCATTCATTAATTGATGAACATTTGAGTTCTTTCTACTTTTTGACTATTATAAATAATGCAGCTTTGAATATTAATGTACAAGATTTTAGATGGACCTGTGTTTTTATTTCTCTCGAATATATATACCTGGGAGTGGAACTACTGAGTCATAGGGTACCTCTGTTTAACTGAGAGTTCTATTGTCATCCTGTTTTAAATTTATATGAATTTAGAAAGGTCTCAAAATCCAGTGGGCCTATCATTTAGTTCTACTTTAAAGAAAAGAGTGAAGAAAAGGATTTTGATATTGACTATTTGATATCACTAGCAGGTAGGTGATCTAACCATTCTGTGTCACCATTAACACACCGATTGATACTCACTGTAAATTGAAACTTTTATTACTGAACAAAGCTTCTCTTACCCAGTATTTGAAGACTGGGGATTTCCATTGTAAAAGCAGTAAATTAGTGTAGGTTTGGGTTGTTGTTACTAAGAGAAAGCTATAGAGGTCAGTAAAATACATTAGTGAAATACTACCATATATCCTTTTTTCCCGCCTCCAGAGTTTGAATTTTACTTCTAAGAATTGTTCTGTTGGCATAGTTTGTCCCAAACTCTTTGGGGCTCTTACAAATGCAAAGTTTCTAAATTTATACTTTATCTTTCAGGGACCATACTGTGCCACTATTTATTGATATAAACTGTCAAGTAAAATTATGAAAATATTAACAAAGAACATAATGTGTGTCAGGCATTCTTCTAAGTTAATTCCTAATGAATTAGCATGAATTAGGTCCTGTCATTTTTATATGAAGGAACTGAGGCACAGAAATATTAAGAAATTTGCCCAAGATTATACAGCAGATAAATTGCTAAGTCAGACTTTAAATCCAAGCTATCTGATCAAGAGTCCATACTCTGAACCACTTCTCTGTACTGCCTCTTGAGTACTGTGCAAGTATAAGATATTATTTGCCATTATGAGTTACAGTTAATTAAAGCTTTTATTTACACAGGTAGTAATCAGACTTCTGCTGCATTCTCAGAACTTATCATTAGAGTAAATATGAATGTTTTAAGGAGTGGAGAAATGGAAAGAAACCCCTGCTGAAGATGGGGTTCTGCTAATGACTGAGAATTCTCTCCATCTTTGTGCCTCATATGACTAACTTTTATTACTGGAGGCAGAAAATTTGTTTTATGTTAATCATAATTGAAGCCATGATTCATAATTGTTGGTTTAGTTATTTAGGACTTTCTTCATGCCATCCTCCTATCCTGTCCCCATTGCTAAGAAGAATATCTGTGGCAAAGTTTATGAAAAGTAATATTTTTAATTTTTGCAATAATTGGAGGTATTCTAGGATCATATAGGATCAGTATTGGGACTCTCTATCTTTCCAGCTAGGTTTTCTGTCCTTGTTTTAGGAAGAAAAGTAGGGTGGAGTATTGGGAGTTGCTCTGCCTTAAAAAATATTCTTATGAGTAAAACATGTGGAAGAATACTTGAATTCTCTGTGTGGTTTTGACAGTTTCAATTGAATGGGAATGAGTTACAGGGAGTTAAAAGATAGTGGAGACATCTGACTGGTATACTTCTTCATTCTACAGTTGGCTCACATAACTGTGTCAATGGCCATGCAGGAAAAATATCCAAGTGAGAGGCGCTCTCATGCCACTTCACCAGGTGAGTAGTCAAAGCATTCTAGGTTAAATTCTGACCTTTGCTCTGTTATTTCATAACAGAAATTTCCTTTAAAGAACATACTGAGCAAACAAGCATTCACTGAAATGCAGTATTAAAGAAACAAAAATAACATGGGGCTGTATTGAATAGAAAAACAGGTCTGTCTGAGAGAACAGTTATTTATCTCTGGTCTTACATAGCTTCCAACAAGACCACATGATTGTGAGGGGAGGACACATAAAGGATTGGAACAAATGACTTAGGAACATAGTTCTATTTGAAATCAGAAAAACACAGCATAAATTACTGTGTACTATGTTGTCTTTGTAGTCATGTGGGTGAGCCAGTCATCTGCTAGCCCACAAAGGTTGGAATTCTTGAATGCCAACAATCTCAGTTGTGTTGTCACTAGAGACTCAGGAATTTATCTCTAGAATGGATTAACAAGATTTTGAAAGCTTAGTAGATATACTAAGTGGATATATTAAGTATATATTAAATATATATAAAAATATGCACACATTCAATAGACAGTTTAAATAGATGTATATTCAAATAGAAAGTAGCATTTAGACATAACTTTGAATTCTGTGACATTTATGAATAAAAGGATACATTTTATTCAACAAAGGATGTGTTTTATTTACCTTTAAAAATCATACAGTGCCTTTTTGCAGACATTTGGTTGATAATATGTTCTCCCAGGCATACTGCCTTGCATATAGTAGGCACTTTGAAAAGCATTTGTTGAATCAATTCAAGATTCATTCAGCAAATATTTATTGATCATCTGTTATGTGCAATGCACAGTCTTAGGGCTAGATTGTACAATTTCTTTTGACAGTTATATGTATAATGCAAGTTTTTGGAATGTAGCAATTTCTAATAAAGCTCAACTGCTTTTCTGATGGTTTTGTCTTTAGTAGTCTCATTCAGTTAATAATGATTTAATATTGATAAGGATGCTTGCTGATAGGACATACGACGTAACAAAAAATTTTTAGCTTTCCAACTTGAATTTTGAAATAAGCATAAGCCTCTATAAACTATACCAAAACATACTTTAATTTTAGCAAATATCTCTTTAGAATTGATGTATGAAGCGGGTGCCTGGAAAAAGTAGTGGTGGTCCAGGTGAAGAATAGGTTAGTAGTAGTAACAGGGAGTGGTTTCCAGTAGGAGGCCAAGAACGTGGTAATAGAGGCCCTCAATCAATTTTTACTGTTTCAAAAGGCCTGGCAAATTGTACAATGACTAGAGAGATAATACCATATAGACTCACAAAGAGGTCAAATTTATTTGCTTTTGGCTAGAATTACATTAATTTAGTAACACTGGCTAATCTTATGCTGATCAGAAGCTCTGATTATTGGCTGTGTCTTTTATTAAGGATTATTACAGATTACTGTGTGTATATAGATTCGTTCAAATCAGGCAGTCCACTGTGACCCAAAGAATAAAAGGAGTCCTTGGGGAAAATTAGATTTACTTCAGTAGAAAGCAGATGTAAGGGTAGCAAAAAAAAAGGAGCAAAGTAGAAGGAATTAGGTTAAAAAGAAAGAACACTAAATTTGGAAGAAGGGAATAAGATGATTTGTGTTCAAATATCATTTGTTTCCCACTAGATCAAAGAGTCTATAGAACCATATTTTCTGATTTCAATTCAAACTGTGATACTTTAAATGAATAAGTAAGCCTCCATTACCTTTTTGTATCATTAGATACAATTTATAAAAATTATTGTGTTTTTTAGGAAATCATTTGAATTTAAATCTTTGCTAGTAAGTTAGTAAATCAAGTCTTTATTGAACACTTCCTACTAGCCCTTAATCAGCAAGATAATAAAGTCAAATTTCATCAGTCTTGTATCTTACCCACTCAGAAATTTTAATCATTTGGTGTTTTTTGTTTTTTGGTGTTTTTTGTTTGTTTGTTTTTGTTTTTTTGAATTGCCTTTAAAAGCTCTTCAGATTGACTTTTAAGATTTATCTTGATCTGGATTTACCCTGCCCATGAGGATACCGTAGTTCAGTCAAGCAGTGGTTTTCAGCAGGGGACTGGACTGCCTGTTACCCTAGGCAGCATTTGAAAATATATGGGGTATTTTCAGGTTTCACGGTGATGGTTAGATAGAGTGAGAGCTGCTACAGGCATTTAGTGAATGGGGACCAGGGATCCTACATGGTCCTGCAATGTATAGACTATGCATTGAAGAACTGTCTTACCAGAATGCTAAAAGCACCTGTTGAGAAATCTTTTAAGAGGAAAGAATGTGGATATTGGAACCAGAACAACCTGGGTTCAAATCTCAGCTCTATACTCTGTAAAACAGGAGTGATAATACTTTTCAGTAAGTAGGTAGATGAGATCACGTTTGTAAAGTACTCTGCTCTCTAGGTTTCAAAAAATGGTAGCTGCTGTTAAATATTGTTTTCTAGTCCAGTTCTCTTGGATTCTTAGTAGGTCTTATTTCTGTCTTTGAACATTCTTACCTCTTATGCTATTTCCATTTAAAGTTAACAAACTCAGTTTCTAGACTAGGCACAGGGGAGAGAAAGGGGTGGGGGGTTGCTATTCCTTCATAGATTTAAATGAATTTTTTAAAAACAGTTTTTTGGGGCTACATCAGCTGGATCACACTAAAGGTGGGAAATGCCACTTGTTTCAGGTTCCAGTGTGATTCAGAAGGGCAGTTCCCTGGGGACTGAATGGCAGACCCCAGTTATCTCGGAGGCCTTTCGGAGCCGCTTCAGCCGCTGTTCAAGTGTAACTGACAGTGGGGACACAGCCATTGGCACATCGTGCTCAGACATTGCGGAGGGTAAGTTTGGATTCATGATTTGATTACCAGTATGTGTTGTCATTTTCAGATTGTGTTCGAGGTGTATTGTCATTTCTAAAGTATTCATAAGTCAGTTTATACAAGAAGGAGTATGCTTGTTACCCAGTGCTTCTCACAGCTGATCCTTTCCTCTTAATTTCTCTTGTTTGTCCTGTCTCAACCAACTTTCTGATAGATTTCTTGCCCTCAAATTTTTCCCTCTACTGCCAGATTAATCTTTCTAAAAGCTTGATTTCATAGTTTCCCTTTCCTGCAAATCCTCAGTTGTTTTCATTATTTGGAGGATAAAATTCAGAGGCCTCAGTTCTTCTGTGATCTGGCCTTGTACCACCTATGCAAACATATTTCTTACTATAATCAGATTTCTTGTCTTAGTATACTATGAAAGTGAAGAACTTTGTTTTTTATATCTGAGCTCTTTCCTTCTTTAATCTGGGTCTATTTGTGCTGTTCCCATCTCCTCTTGCCCCTCCCAGCTATGCTAATCTTATTTTTCAAGATTTAGTGAATTGTCCATACAAAAACTTGTACACAGATGTTCATAGCAGCATTATTCACAGTAGCCAAAAAATGGAACAACCCAAATGTCTATTAACCGACGAATGGATAAATAAGAATTTTCCTATCCCTCTCACCCATTACTGATCTTTCTCTTTACAAACTTATATCCTTACTGTTTCTTCCACTTGATTTAGCACTTAAAATTAAGTAATAACTGCCAAGCAGTACTTTACAAGAGTATTTTGTTTTTCATTTAGATGGTGAGTTCCAAGAGGGCAGAAGACCTAATGATAATAATTAATTACTATTTATTAAATATTTTGTGATGAATCCTCTACTAAATTTTAAAAATATTTTTTCATTAATGCTTTTAAGAACTCTATGAAATATTTGAACTCTTTTCATAAAGAGTTCTTAAACTTTATATAATAAACTATAAAATGAAACATTATTTTAATTTTACATATGAGAATACTGAATTTCAAAGTGATTAAATTAGTTGGTTAAAGTTACAACTATGGTATTTTATCAGATGTGACATCACTAGATGGCTGTAATCAAAAAGATAACAAGTGTTGGTGAGAATATAGAGAAATTGGGACCTTTATACATTGCTGGTGGGAATGTAAAATGTTACAGCCGCTTTGGAAAGCAATTTGGCAAGTTACGTTGTGATTCAGCAGTTCTACTCCTTGATATGTACCCAAGAGAAATGAAAATATACATCCATACAAAAACTTGTACACAAATGTTCATAGCAGCATTATTTGCAGTAGCCAAAAAATGGAAACAACTCAAATGTCTATTAACAATGGATGAATAAAATGTGGTATTTCCATACACTAGAATATTATTTGGCAATAAAAAGAAACGAAGTACTGATGCGTGTTACAAAATGAACGAACTGTAAAAACACCTATGCTTAGTTAAAAAAAAAAAGCCACATGCATAAGACCACATATTGTATGATACCATTTATACGAAACGTCCAGAATAGTTCAATACATAGAGAGACAAAAAGTATATTAGTAGTTGCTTAAATGGTTGCATGACTGGGGTAAGAGGTTTCTTTTTGGGGTGATGAAAATATTCTAAAATTGATTGTATTACACAACAGGTGGTTACACAACTCTGTGAATATATGTATTAAAAACCATTGAATTGTACACTTCAAGTGGGTGAATTGTATAGTATATGAATTATATCCTAGTAAAGACGTTTTTTTAAAAAAAAGAATAGAAATGTTTGGGAAAAAATAAAAGGAATAAAAAGGGGGGAAAAACTCATTTACTACTAGTGCTAACTCCTAGACTCCTAGCATTTCATTTTAATCATTTGATAGATGTGTGTACATGGGCACAGTGCTCAGTAAATACTGACTAGAGTTGAATTATAGATTTGAGGTAGACAGGGCTTTAAAAATCACTTAATCTCATTCCTTTTTGTTGGTGAATAACAAAAATTTCCCCAGGAGGTTAAGTAATTAACTTGCCTAATGTCACACAACTAGTTATCAGATTTGGATCTCCCAGCTGTATTGTTCTTTTGTAATCAAAAGTGTTACTGTAATTCAGTTATGATTTGTTAAAGTTTTGTTTATTCGTGCTGTCATGGGACCTTTTTCATTTTGTCTAAATAATAGGTCTGTTTAAAAATCAGTGGTCTAGATTTTTACCACAATTAAATTGACTAGCTCTATTTAATTCAGTCAAATTGCTACATAGATTGTGTATGACTCTGTGCTTTTCATTCCTTTGGGGAGCTATATATATTTTCTAATTGTTGCTCATTTTGTTGATGAATCTAAGTTGGTTTACTTGGAGCCCAGTTGACAAGAACCCTTACAACTGGTATATAGTTCATTGTTGCATCTGTAAATTGAACAGGCTTGCTTTTGATTCCATGCTCCACTAAGGTGTGTTACCTTGCAGATTCTCAAGGGACAGGTAGAGGTAGATACTGGAGAGCTCGAAAGGCTTTCAGCTCTTCGCTAAAGACTGAAATAGTGGCTTAGTTTAGACTACCATAATTCATAAACTGGTAAGGGATGTAGACAGTGATCAAGATTTAGCAATAACTAAAGAAGGGTTGATAAAAAGAAAGTTGTGAATTTTTTTGAAGGGGGAGGGAGATGAGGTGGGAGGATGTGGTTGAAGAGAGGAGAGATTTAGAAATATACCTTTAAAGTGACAAAAACCCAATGATTATGGGAACCGTAGACTTCTCTAAATAAAAGTGCATATCCCATTCACTAAATTTTGAAAACTTTTGAAAATTGTACAAGATAATGACCCTTTGCTATTTCGTTTCAAAATGTTCTAAAATGCAAACCAGACTTAAGGTATAACTTGATGTTTTATAATAGTTATCAGAATCAGGCAGTTTTCTTAATATAAATAAACAAACCCAATGGGCAAGTAACAAAAGCTGACAAAGACCTCACTTTTTCTGTCATTCATAGGTGGACCACACTCATTAGAAAACTAGAAAAAACTAGAGAATCTTTCTTATTCTCCTGGATCAGTTGATACTTTTCCTCTTGGCTTTGGTTTTAGCATTACTACTTTGGGGATTATAGGCTCAAAATTGAATTTGGTGAGTGTTGAAAGAAAGTGGTGCTGTGAATAGAGAATGGAAGGTGTTACTAAATTCAGCGTAGTAGTAGCCCCTCATATGCCACAATCTCGCTGTCTTCCATAATTATACTTCGGGAGGAGGGACCATTGGTCAGAGTGGATATTATGATGCCATTATGGAGGATTTCATGTAGAGAGCTTACTAGTCTTGGAAGTCTTTATCACCACAAGTCTGCTTTAACCTGTTGATTAGGCCTATATTTAAATTGTGGGACATCAAAAACTGTGTCCTTTGACTCTGGAATGTCCTTCTGTCTTGGTCTGAGAGGCTGACGCATGTTATCAGAAGTTACCGGGGTTTTTGTTTTGTATGCTTATTTTTAGTATGGCCTTTTATATATCCCCAAGATCATTTGAGTATAGAAAATTAGATACCCTGCATATATTGTAAGAGATAATTTGGTTTGCCTGTGTTTTCAAAGAGCTGCTTACACGCCCATGAGAAAACAGTAGCTCATGTAATTCTGGGAAAGGTTGCTATCTGTCCTCATTAGCTGAGTGTGTTCTGTGTTGGTTGATGGAAAGAAAAAAGAAAAACAAATGGTAGTCCACTCTTCTTCATGGTAGATGTATTTGGTTTGGAAAAGAGTACTGGACATGATTGAAAAGGGAAGACTCAGTTTTCTGCCTGTTGAAGGTAACAGGTATGTTTTCTTGTTGTGTGCTTGCAGCCTACTACCCCAGCACATTAGTTCTCTGACTTTGTGGTCCTCTTCAGAGTAGCACTTCAAAGTTGGAAATATGTGGAAATGTGAATCTTCTGTAGAAGAGCTAATCAGAGAGTTCACTCAACAGTAGGAAGGAGCTAAAGGAAACATAAGTCCAGTCTGAAGGAAAAGTCACAGTTGGATACAAACAAAGAGTAAGCGAAAGGCAAAATATGAAATAGAGGATTTCACTGTGTACCCGCTTGAGAGTGCTTACTGTGCTGGAGTGAAACTTGAGAGTTACTAAGAATAACTTCACATATCCAGGCAGTCAGTTCTGGTGTGTGGGGGAGAGAACAGAATCCTGATTTAGATGCTGTACTCCCTGCCCTGGATACAGAGAGCACTATCCAGTTTGCCTTATTCTTCAGATAGTTTATATTCATTGCTTACCTTCACTGGGAAGCTTTTGGAGGTCACAGAGGATTGTCGCAGTCCTTGGGAAGGATATTTTTTTTTAGGTTGGATTATAGCTTAGAGATGCCCAGCTCCCAGAAGAGTAGGACCTATTAAGTAAGTGATTTTTTTTTTAAGTTCAGTTTTTCAGTTTGGTTTGTTGACTGTCAAGATTTTTTATTCAAATACAAGGGACAAGAGTGTAAGTTAAAAATGAAGCTAGTGTTGCCTTTTGCTGGTTTACCTTGTGAATGGCATTAGAGACCCCAGAACACACATCTCCCAGTTAGGCTGTTGTGTCTTTCTGTCTGATAACTTGTGATGACAGTGCCCTCTCTTCCTGGTCTCAGGACAGGCAGAGAATGTCTGAAATAGCAGCCAAACTTAAGAAAGCCTGATGCTTCAATTTTGACTTATGGAAGACTATTCTCTCCACAGATTTTTGCAGCTCAAGTAGCAGCCCTCCTTTCCAGCCCATCAAAAGCCACGTAACCATTCCAACAGCTCATGTGATACCTTCTACTTTGGGGACCTCTCCTGCCAAGCCAAATTCTATACCTGCCGGACCCTCTTCCTCCAAATTCCCTTTGTCAGGGTTGGCTGAAAATGTGGGGATGACAAGAAATGGAGACCTCGGTGCAATGAAACGTTCTCCAGGCCTGTCTAGAGATTTCATGTATCTTTGTGGTGCTCCTGGAGAAAATGGAATTGAGCAGTCCTGGTTTCCAGCAGTGGGCCATGAAAGAGAAGAAGAGATGAGGAAGTTTGATATTCCCAGTATGGAGTCTACCCTCAATCAGTCAGCAATGATGGAGACACTTTATTCAGATCCTCACTACCGAGTCCACTTTCACAACCTAAGAACCGACCCAAACAAGGAGTTATACAAAGTGTTGCCTGAGACCAAGAAGGCACCAGGCAGTGGGGCAGTATGTGAGCGGAATGGACCACACCCCAGCAGCAGTGGGTTGCTGCCTTTGGGACTTCAGCCTGCTCCTGGGCTCTCTAAGCCTCTACCCTCTCAGGTGTGGCAGCCAAATTCTGACCCTTGGAATCCCCGCGAACGATCTTGTGAGCTCAGCACTTGTCGGCAGCAGCTAGAGTTGATTCGTTTACAGATGGAGCAAATGCAGGTAGAGGACCTTCTTTCCTTGGATTTTGCAGGTTCTGTGCAGATCTTAGAACTGTAAAGTTTTTCTAAGTTTTGGCTCTAAATAAAACATTTGCAAGAAAGAGGGAAGATGTTTTTAGATAGGACATGAAAGCTTGTGAATGCCATCTCAAGTCTATTGGTGGTCTGATTAAACACCACTGAGGTTCTCCAAAGTAAAGGGTTATAGCGGAAAACCCGAAAAGTCACTCGGCTAGGTACTTTCGCAACACAATCATTTAATTCTTATAGCACCCTGATGAGATATATGTAGAAATTTACTAGATTCTTAGAATAAGTAATATGTCCACAAGGCTGGTAAGTGGCAGAGCTAGGGTTTAAAAACAGTCAGAATCTATGCTTTTTCCATTATACCACTTTTGTGTTTAAAAAAGAAAGTTCTTATGCTGCTTGAGTGGGAAGGAAAGAAGCTAGACATATTCTTTCCTGGTTAGTGAGGACATCTTAGCTCTTGGTTTGTCTCTGTTGCCAGATAATGAAAGATAACTGACCTTTTCTTAGAAACTAAAGCCTTTCTGAGCAGTGTCCAGTTGGCAGGAGTCTCCCTGGCAGGTTCTTTCCAGTCATGCATCAGAGCTAAAATTATTTCATAAACACCAGGCCTTCTCAGGCTGAGCCAAAATGAGCCTTGACTACAGACCCAGCTGTGCTAGTACCCAGGGTACTACTCAGATGTTTTCAGAAGCCTATAGGTCAAGATCAAGTCCCTCTGGACCTGCTTGTCTTTCAGCTTCAGAATGGAGCCATTTGCCACCATCCCGCTGCTTTTGCTCCTTCACTGCCCACGTTAGAACCAGCACAGTGGATCAGCATCTTGAACAGTAATGAACAACTTCTGAAAGAAAAGGAGCTCCTCATTGACAAGTAAGAGGACAAGGGGTGCCATAGGACCAGCCTCTGTCCTTCCAGCCCCCACTGAGGGCAGCTAATGAGGTCTCCTCAAGGGCAGTACATGCCTTCTGTTTAGGCCCAGTCCTTGCCTCATGGTAAAGCTGGGTTGATAAGCAGCCATCCTGTGTCAGACTAATGTGATAAGCCAGTTGTGTGTATCTCGGGGCCTCTGGGGAGTTCCTAAAGGGGGCAGCTGGTTCTTTGAGGCTAATATTTTGTCATTTCATTTCCCCTCATTCAGCTTTTTCATTTGCTCTCCCTTCTTCAGCAAAACAGTACTTCCCAGAATCCAGGGTCCTTGTTTTCATAGTATGGATTTTACCTATCAAAAGAAAGGAAAGGCTCATACTGTAGCTCGGTTAGTGTCAGAACTCTGGACCTCATTCTGCTGGTTTTTGCAGGCAGAGGAAACACATCTCTCAGCTGGAGCAGAAAGTGCGAGAGAGTGAAATACAGGTCCACAGTGCTCTTTTGGGCCGTCCTGCCCCCTTTGGGGACGTCTGCTTGCTGAGGCTACAGGTAAGCATTGGCAGTCAGGTTGGCATTCTCCTTGCCATAACTCAGTATCTCCCCTCTGCTTGGCACTGTTAGGTATCCAGGAGAGAGAAAAAAGACCAAGCGATGTAAAGTGTCCCTGCCCTCAAAGAGTAAGCATCTTAATTATGAAGCATCCCTTAGTCTGCCCTTTTGGGGCAGAAAAGACTTGAGGGTAGAATCGAGTGGAAGTCCAGATGCCTTGGTGTTGGAACATAACTTGGGAGAAAAGAAAGGCAGAGCAAAGTACACTGTAAGGTCCCAGAGCTGGATGATGTCCTGAGAAGTCTTAATCTACCAGCCCTGGCCAAATGGAAGGAGAGGCAGAGGTAATGGGGGATTTAGAGCCATTTTCATTCTTGTCTTCCATGTCTAGGAGCAACTGAAGGAAACCATATTCTTACTCAAGTCAAGTGGCTCTAGAAGAAGCCTGCTTTACCACGCTTCTCTGCAATTTGGGCTTTTGAGTGATGGGTGTTAGATTATAGTACTGGCTTTGCCACCTAGTGGCCCTGTTAAGACAGTATTCCATCTTGTAGAATCAAAGTGATAGAGTAAGAAGGGCCCTTAGATAAAATCTAGTTCAGTTCTCTAATTTACTGATGATAAAATTAAGGCCCAAGAAGGAGAAAAAACTTGCCCTCGAGCCCAGGTCTTCAGATGTCTTGTCCCGTGTTCCTTCAGTTATACTACAACTCCTCAGATATTGCTTTAAGGCAGGGGTTCTGAATTGTGAGAGTGCATTGGAATCACTTGGAAGGCCTTTTAAAACAGATTATTGTGCTTGCTTTGGCAACGCATATACTAAAATTGGAACGATACAGAGATTAGCATGGCCCCTGCACAAGGATGACTCGCAAATTCGTGAAGTGTTCCATATTTTTAGGGTGACAGGAAGAAATCTAACTATGGGCAGTTAACACACAGTCCAATATATATATATTAGGAAGAAATCTAACTATGGGCAGTTAACACACAGTGCAGTATATATATATTACTCACTGTTGAATTGTACACTTGAAACTTATTGGATTTTGTTAATGTTGCCATTAAAAAAAAAAAAAAGAAAAAGAAAAACAGACCCAACCTTAGAGTTTCTGGTTCAGTGGGCCTGGGAGTCAGGCTCAAGAATTTGCGTTTCTAACAAATTCCCAGGTGTTACAGATGCATTTAGTTCCAGGACCACATTTTGAGAAGGACTGCTTGAAGAAATTCTTAGAGAAAGATATTTCACCACAAAGTCTGCTGGAATTAGTAAAGTACATGGGACTATAAGGGTAAGGAACAGTTATATATTGAGAATCTTTGCAGGAATTGCAGCGAGAGAACACTTTCTTACGTGCACAATTTGCACAGAAGACAGAAGCCTTGAGCAAAGAAAAGATCGAGCTCGAAAGGAAACTCTCTGCTTCAGAAGTTGAAGTCCAGCTCATCAGAGAGTCACTCAAAGTGGCATTGCAGAAGCATTCAGAGGAGGGAAAGAAACAAGAAGAAAGGGTGAGCTAAAGAGCTGATAGCTCTCTAATTCACAAAAGAGTTGGCAGTCAGCCCTCTCCAGGCAAACTATAAGCTGTTTCTGGCCCCCGTTCCTGGAACCAGGAGGAGCCAATTGGGTTAAACACTACACTGGATGCTCAGGCAGGACTGGTTTGCTAGGAATGAAACCCTTCCTTCTGCTTTATCTCCACAGAACGACCACAATATAAACCCTCACTGCCCCAAGTTGTAATAGGCCACCAGCTGGCCTGGGTAGAAAACCAGCCTGAGTAGTCATACGGGATGGTACTGTTGCAAGATGTTTAAAGACCTGTGGTAAATTGACGTCATTCAGCCTGGTTTCTCCTCACTTTACCTTAAAAGGAGAGAAGAATTCTTTGTGTGCAGCTGGTTTGGGAGTTTTTACATGTTTGCTGGTGCTCTTAGAATTGCCTTAGGGCAAGATTGGTCATCATAGAAGGAGCTAATTTAAAATCTTTGTTTCTGTTCATAGCTTGCTCTGATGCAGATGTTCTTGGGGGACAAGTTTAGTAATGTTTATTAGTTCTGGACCACTTGTATCAAAATCAACTAGAGAAGTGCTTCTTAAACTTTAATGTGCTTAAGAATCACTTGGAGATCTTGTAAAAATGCAGATCCTGCATTTCTAACAAGCTCTCAGGTGATGTTGGTGCCATTGCTATAACAAGGACTTAGAGGCTTGTTAAAACAGAAACTTTTAATCAAAATAATACATGTATCTAAAATAATCAAATACCATATGTTTATAATAAAAATTAGTAGTTCTGTGCCCGGCCCACCCCACAAAGGGATCCATCCTCAATTCTTTTTTTTCTCCTGATATATACCTTTGTATCTCTGAATAGTATTCTTTTCTTGTGTTTTTTGCTGTTTTTGTTTCATGGATACAATATCTCATTTTTCTGACTGTATCAATTATACTTTTTGGGATGTCTACATATGCTTATAATATTGTTTCTTGTTTCCTTCAGGTACTTTTTTGTTTGTTTTGGTGTCTTTTATGTTAGAGGCTTAGTAATCCTTGAATAAGTAGCCATTCATATTTAAGAATGAAGTATTTGAAAGCTGAATGGAAGTTCTGGGTTCATGGTAGTTGCCTGATGGACTCCACAGTAGGATGATCAGACTTAAACTGTCGTCTCACTTGGAAATCCTCAAATATCAGTGTCCAAATGTCTTATCTCACTCTCT